GTCACTATGGCATAGAGTCGTTAATGTAACACAATAATCACAATGTTTATGGGGTGGGATTGCTGATTCTGACCACCCAAAGAGTATGTAGAAGTGAGCAAAAAACCCAAAGACTGAATGTAAGTACAAGCATCAGAGTGCCCCTGCTGCTGCTGCTGCTAAGTCGCTTCAGTTGTGTCCGACTCTGTGTGACCCCACAGATGGCAGCCCACTAGGCTTCTCTGTCCCTGGGATTCTCCAGGCAAGAATATTGGAGTGGGTTGCCATTTCCTTCTCCAATGCATGAAAGTGGAAAGTGAAAGTGAAGTCTCTCAGTCGTGTCCGACTCTTCATGACCCCATGGACTGCAGCCCACCAGGCTCCTCTGCCCATGGGATTTTTCAGACAAGAGCACTGGAGTGGGTTGCCATGCCTTCTCTGCAGAGTGCCCCTAGAGCACCCTAAATAGAAGCATTTCTCTTTACCTCGGGTGTTTGCTAAGTAGCTGTGACTGAGAATCTGACCGAAACTATGTTGTAAAGATTGTAATGTTCATAGATTAAGTTCTTAACACTGCCAGTTTTATCATACTAGTATAAAGGCTCTGGTTGGAAAGTAGAGTAAAAATTATTAATCTTTGTTTCATTAAAAATCTTGGAGGCAAGCTTAAAAATGTTACCATGAAATATGCTCTTTAGTTTTTCAAAAAAGAGATGTTCTTTATCAGAATTGTTTTATTCTTTTATAAGAGTTTTTAGGATTAGGGTATAATGACATATAAATTATATTGGTTTTAGGTGTACAACATAATGATTTGATATTTAATATTTACATATTATAAAATAATCACCACAATAAGCCTAGTTAACATTTGTCCTCATACATAGTTCCAAAAATATTTTTTCTTGTGATGTGAACATTTAAGATCTGCAGTCTTCAGTTCAGTTCAGTTCAGTCGCTCAGTCATGTCTGACTCTTTGCAACCCCATGAATCGCAGCACGCTAGGTCCCCCTGTCCATCACAAACTCCTGGAGTTTACTCAAACTCATGCCCATCGAGTCGGTGATGCCATCCAGCCATCTCATCCTCTGTTGTCCCCTTCTTATCCTGCCCCCAGCCCCTCCCAGCATCAGAGTCTTTTCCAACGAGTCAACTCTTTGCATGAGGTGGACAAAGTATTGGAGTTTCAGCTTCAGCATCAGTCCTTCCAATGAACACCCAGGACTCATCTCCTTTAGGATGGACTGGTTGTATCGCCTTGCAGTCCAAGGGACTCTCAAGAGTCTTCTCCAATACCACAGTTCAAAAGCATCAATTTTTCGGCGCTCAGCTTTCTTCACAGTCCAACTCTCACATCCATACATGACCACTGGAAAAACCATAGCCTTGACTAGATGGACCTTTGTTGGCAAAGTAATGTCTCTGCTTTTTAATATGCTGTCTAGGTTGGTCATAACTTTCCTTCCAAGGAGTAGGTGTCTTTTAATTTCATGACTGCAGTCACCATCTGCAGTGATTTTGAGCAACTTTTGAATATGTGATATAGTATTATTATTAATAATTATAGTCACCATGCTGTACATTACACCCTCAGGACTTCTTCATTTTAAAACTGGAAAATTACACCTTTGGACTCCTTTTGCCCGTTTCATGCACATATATACATACAATTATCATCTTCATCCATTCACTCACTGATGGACACTCAGGTTGTTTCCATATCTTGGCTCTTGTAAATAATGCTGTAATGAATATTTGGATGCATATATCTCTTTTAGAATTACTGTTTTTGTTTTCTCTGGGATAAATTTGTATAATTTTTTTCAAATAAATATTACTTGGATAACACCCCAGATGTGAAATTACTGGATTCTATGGTAGCTTTATTTTTAATTTTTTGAGGAACCTCTATACTGGTTTCCACAGCGGCTGCACCAAATTATATTCCCACCAACAGTACACAACCATTCCCCTTTCTCCACATTCTTGCCAACACATATTACTGTTGTCTTTTTGATAATAGCCATTCTAATGGGAGTGAAGTGATATCTCATTATGGTTTGATTTGCATTTTCCCAATGTCCACCAGCAATGCAGGAGATCCAGTTTCTATCCCTGGGTTAGGAAGATCCTCTGGAGAAGGAAATGGCAACCCACTCCAGTATTCTTGCTTGAGAAATCCCATGAACAGAGGAGCCTGGTGGGCTACAGTCCATAGGGTCACAAGAGTTGGACATGACTTAGTAACGAAACCAATGATTAGTGATGTTGAGCATCATTTCGTGTGCCTATTGGCCACCTGTATGTCTTCTTTGGAAAAATATCCATTTCATATCCTCTGCTCGTTTTTTAATTGGATTGTCTGATTGTTTTTAATCTAGTTGTATAAATTCTTTATAATTTGGGGGGATATTAATCCCTTTTCAGATACACTATTTGCAAATATTTTCTTCCATTGTTAGGTTGCCTCTTCATTCTGTGGAGATTTCCTTTGCTGGGCAGAAGCTTTATAAATTGATGTAGTACCACCTGTTTACTTTTGCTTTGGTTGCCTTTGCTTTTGGTGTCAAAATTTTTAAAAATCACCATCAAAAACAGTGTCTAGGAGATTGTAGCCTATGTCTTTTTCTAGGATTTTAATGGTTTCAAGTCTATGTTCAAGTCTTTAATCCATTTTGAGTTAATTTTTGTACTTGTTTTTGGAGTATAAGATAGTAGTCCAATTTCACTCTTTTTCATGTGGCTGTTCAGTTTTCCTAACACTATTCATTGAAGAGACTGTCCTTTCCCCATTGTATATTGTTGGTACTTTTTTGGTAAACTTAATTGACCATATACATGTAGGTTTGTTAATACTTTCAGTCTCTTTATTCTGTTCCACTATGTCTATGCATCTGTTTTAAGCTAATGTCATACTGTTTTGATTACTATAACTTTGCAATATAGTTAGAAATCATGATATGTGCTGCTACAAGTGTTTTTTTTCCCTCAAGATTGCTTTGGCTATTCAGGGTCTTTTGTGAATCCAAAACCCAAAGTAGGCAAAACAAAGAAAATGATAATAAACAAGCAGAAATATGTGAAAGAGAAAACAGAAAAAGCAATATATAATAACAATAAAACCAAAAATTGGTTCTTTGAAGAAAATAAAATTTGTCAACCAAGCTGATTAAGAAAAAAGACACAAATTGAAACAGTAGGTAAAGGTGAAGGGAGGGCAGGCTTACAAAAGCATATGAGGGAACTGTTCAGGGTGACCTTTGAGGATTATAAATATGATTGTTATCTTGATTATGGTAATTGTTTCACATGTGGATGTCAAGATACCTACAGTTGAACATTTAAAAACTATATGTCAATTACACCCCAATAAAACTGCAAATGAAAATGAAGAAATAAGACATGCAGGAGTCCCGTTGACAATAGAGAAATTTTCCATTGAGACCCCCCTCCCCCATTATCTTAATTAACCCAATTTTCATATCAGGGAAGACTTTCCACACAAATGTATTTCACAAAGAAATTAACATGGAAATATGTTTTTTCTTTCCATCTTCATTTTCTAAGAAGATTCCTTTGGAAATAAGCTTTCTTTCCATCCAGCTACTATCTAAAGGATGGGAGATCTGAGTTACACCTGCCATATTGTAATGTCTCATTAAGGGATGATTCTTTGTGTTTGGTTTTGGTCCACATTTCATTATCTACAAGGCTCCCAAGGATAATTGCAAAACTTTGGCAAAATTTTACTCTTGTGTTCTACTATATAAATTCTCTATAGCAATTCCCAGTATAGGTACAAAAGTGAAAGTGTTAGTTGCTCAGTCGTGTCCGACTCTTTGTGACCCCATGAACTGTAGCCCACCAGGCTCCTCTGTCCATGAAATTCTCCAGGCAAGAATACTGGACTGGGTTGCCATTTCCTTCTCCAGGGAGTCTTCCCGACACAGGGATCAAAACAGTGTCTCTGGCAATGCAGGCAGATTCTTTACCATCTGAGCCACCAGGAAAGTCCAGTGTAGATACAGGTGTTTTTAAGATATGAATCTTGACTCAGTTTTATGTGCTTCTCTTAATCATTTAGTCTAAGTGTCCTCAACCTCGACTGTGCACTAGAATCAACTGTCAGAAGTTTAGTATTGTGTTTAGACTTTGAAAACCCATAAGAAGCATTTAATTGATCAGATGATCCTATAGCTAAAGCAGCATTTTGAATGTTCTTACCCTAAACTTACAAGTTAAGTTGAGACAGCTATAGAAAAAAAATATGATAAAAATTGAGAGTGAAACTAAGTTGATTGTTAAAATATGGGTTATTATTAATTTTATACAGCCATTTTAAGAGTGATCTAATTACCAACACCACTAAGTTTCACAAACATTGATACAAAGTCATATAAGAGGTTCACATAAACACTACAAAAGATAACCATTTCCAAACCACAGCACATTTGACATTTCTAATATTCTCAACATAGGCATCAGAAACTTAAAGAATGAGAAGACATAGCTGTTTAAAATGCCTAAGAAATCTAAATAGCAAATAAATTAGCAGTCAAAACTTCTTTTTCTTTGAAGAGGAAACATATGTAATGAAGTAGGGATTTTTTTGGTCTACCCATAACTATAAGTCAATAGTGTAATTGTAAAAGATGACATTTCCTACTCATGACTTAAAAGACACTTGGTGCTTTGAAGACAACTAAGATGATGGTGCTCTAATGTTGCCAGATCTCAAGGCTTATGAAACATAAAAGAGACATAAAATAAAGCTAAAACAAAAAGAAGTTGGTTTAAAATGACACAGGTGGTTACAACAAATAGCACTTGGTGTGTCCATGCCTGGAATTCACTGGTGTCAGGAGGAGCAAACAGAAAAGAACAAGCAATGCAAGTGGCTGGAAACATGGGAGTGCAGTGGATACCAGCAACAGGGATGGTCTTTAGCATGGTTTTCCATGGAGGAATGTCTGACACTGGTGCCATTCATTGAAGGAAGAACTGAAACCGTGAAGTATGGCTACTTAGAGAAGAAGATCTCCCTCCTGGAAAGTCTCCTGAGAGCCCTCTTCATGTCTCTGTTCCTCAGACTGTAGATGAAAGGGTTCAGCATGGGTGTGACCACTGTGTACATCACTGAAGCTATTATGTTCTTGTCATTAGAGGTGCTGGATGAGGGTAAAGTATAAAGTCCAATAATTGTTCCGTAAAATAGGAAAACCACAGAGAGGTGGGAGCCACATGTGGACAATGCTTTGCAGATCCCCTTGGTGGAAGGGACCTTCAGGATGGTGACCCCGATGCGGCCATATGAGATCAGGATGCATACTAGTGGGAAGACAATGACGGCCACTCCTACTGTGAAAATGGCCAGCTCATTGAGGGATGTGTCTGAGCAGGAGAGCTTCAGCAGGGCATCAAGGTCACAGAAGAAATGGGGGATAGTGTGGTCAGCACAAAAGGACAGCTGGGTCAGGAGGAGGGTGTGACATAGGGCGCTGGCACTGGAGAGAATCCAGGACACCATTACTAGTAAGGTGCACAGCCCCTGTCCCAAAGTGGTGGAGTAGTGGAGAGGGTGGCAGATGGCCATGTACCTATCATAGGCCATTGAGGTGAGCAGGAAATCATCCAGATCAGTAAAAAAGAGGAAGAAATATGTCTGTGTTACACACCCTACATAGGAGATGGATTGATGCTGAGTCTGCATGTTCATGAGCATCTTAGGGACAGTGACAGATGAGAAGGAGACATCAGTGAGGGCCAAGTGGCTGAGGAAGAAGTACATGGGGGTGTGGAGGTGAGGGTCCAGCCTGATGAGCAGGACGATGAGCAGGTTGCCCAACACTGTAGTCAGGTACACGCCCAGGAACAGGGCGAAGAACATGCCCTGCTGCTCTGGCCGGATGGGGAGCCCCAGGAGGAGGAATTCAGAAATGCTGCTCTGGTTCTCCCTCCTCATGCTCCTTGTCTCTCTGCTTAGATTGGAAATGTCCCAGATGATAAATCATGATAACAACAATCACTGTAGGGCTATCTACTTTCCACTGAGGAATTCCTCAGGATATTCTTCACATGCTATCACCTCAATCCCCACCCTCCCCCAGTGGAGCAGGAGGAAGTTATCAGAGCTCCAATAAGCAAAAATTGTCCTTCAGTGTATACCAAGGGAAACTTATTTATTTGTTTAACAATATGAGAGACAAGTTAAGTTCTATCAGGAGACTCTTTGCTGGAGAAAACAAAGACAGAGAAAGACCCTTCCTTCAGGGAGCTCATATGCTCAGGAGTAGCCTCTTCAGAAACTTGCTCAGTTTATTGTATTTGTGATGAGATTTCTAGTGGGTTCTGACTCCAAGACTTTCTAGTTATTTGCATCAACTTACTCTCTGCCAGCTTCATTTTGAACCTCTACCAATACTCACAGTAACACTTACACATAGGGATTGTAGAAGAATTAAATGATTCAATGTGAGTTATGATATTAGTACAATGTTCACATAGTAAGGGCAGAGATACATCATTTAATATCTTCACACCAGCGTGAGTATCCAGATAGATCCTGGATTAATCTTCAGAAACCCATTCGTTACACCAGGAATGGGAGGAGACCAGGTAGCTGATCTCAAAGCTGTGTTAATCTACATGGACTCCTAATGTCCCAAGGGAGATGCAGACACACACACACACACACACACACACACACACACACACACACACACACACCCTAGACCCTGTGGTTAATTTCCTGATAGAGCTTAACTTGATGTATTTTGTTTAATTTGGAGCAAAATAAATTGTATTTCACCCATCTCCATTGTTGTTCATTTCCCTGCATCTACCTTTAGTGAATCAAATTGCCTCAATCTAGGTAGTCATATGCAGTGAGGCACTGGAACATTTGCCCTAGGATATCAGAGATGGTAGATGCTATATGATAAGTGATGCCTATTAGATTTAACATTTATCTGATTTCTATGGCTAGTCCCCACTATCAGTCCTAATGTAATTGACATTTACTGAGCATGGGGTCTACTATGCACCAGACAAAATAAATGGATTTTAGTATACACATCATGTGTCTGTGATGCTCAAGCTAAGAGATGCTAAGAAACCAGCCCTTGATCACACAGCCAGTAACTGTGAGAGTCATCACTCTTTACTCAACTTTTTATTAAGTCTCTACTCTTATTTACATACTCTCCCTTCCCTTATTTAATTGATCAGAAGAGCAATGCCTTTGAGACATGTTATTTCAGTCTTTGAAAGAGGATTTCTATGCTCAATATGACCTCAACCACCAGTGCACCCATCTGCCATCCCTCATACCTATATCCATTTAGATTCCCACAGCCTACACTGTACAAATGGCTTCCATATGCTTTCAATTATATGCAATCAGCATACATTTTCTGTCTGAGAAGGAGCGAAAACAGTGACTTATTTTCTTTCATTCTACTAATGTGAGAAGTGCGTCACTTACAAAATGTATTTGTTGGTAGAACTTGATCTCGAAGTCTGCTGATACTCTGTTCATTAGGGACAGACTTCCCATTTGGGGGTGGGGGAGTGGGTAATGGAATTAAAATACCCAAATGCCTAGAAGGGGCTTCACAGGTGGTGCTAGTGGTAAAGAACCCACCTGCCAATGCAGGGGACATAAGAGACATGGGTTCAATTCCTGTGACAGGAAGATCCCCTGGAAGACAGCAGGGCAACCCACTCCAGTGTTCTGGCCTGGAGAATCCCATGGACAGAGGAGCCTGGCAGGCTATAGTCCATAGGGTTGCAAAGAGAAGGACACAGCTGAAGCAACTTAGCATGCATGATGCATGCCTAGAAGAGGAAACTGACATTAACACACAGGACTGCATATCTGATAGTAGTAGATTCTTATTCCAAACCAAGGTGATTCTCAGGAACACAAGGACACTAGGAGGAAGGAGGTGACCTCCCACCCTATGGGGTCTGGATGCTTATTGACAATTTTTGGGTGAAACCTCAACCGAGCGCTCTGGCTTCTCTGGAAGGGAGAGTGCTGGATGGGGTGACCAGGAAGCCTGAAGCAGGCACAGAGCTGCCTGTCAAGAGGTGAACCAGAAGAAAGGAAGCATTCATCATGTGTTTAAATAGCAATGTGAGAGATACTCAGGACTGAAGCTGTAACCTAACGTTTGGGAGAGAATCTTTGCATGAACTTTCTGTTCTAACTGACATAACATACTCTCCCATGTTAGAGTTACCTGAAGAAGAGCCAGGGACATTAGCCTCAGTCTTGGAAATAATATGCAGCTGGCTAGGTCTTACTACATGCCTGACATGCAGACAATATCTCATAGCATATTGTTACCTTATTTTACATTTAAGGCTGCGGGCCTCAGAGAGATCAAATGTTAAGCCCAGAAAACTATTGCATGGCACCACCAGATTCCTAGGGCACCAGAACCTGGACACTGAACCAGGTTACCATGCTCCTAAAGTGTCAATATGAACAATACTGAAGGCCCGAGTGGGACATGTTTAGGGCTCTGGGTACATTATAGGAAAAGTCAACTGCAGCAATAGGTCTTGAGGAGGATCCAATTTGAAAGTGCCTTGGTGGATTCTGGTCTGAATCAAGAGGAACACTGAAAAGACTGTCCTATACTCAGGCATATGTGTGCGTGTATACACAAACACACCTACACACACACACAGCTTTATTAGAATTTAATCCCTTGCATTTCCCGTATCACTTCTGGGTGAATTTAGTAGAGATATGAGTCTGTTAAATACAGTACAGACACCTCTACACCTGTAATTTCTCTCTTTCTCCCACACGTATACTTCACAACACACATACTGTTAAATGGTAATTTCCTGTTCTCTCTGACATATGCATGCCATGGATAAAGATGATCAGGGTACAAATCTGTTTCACAGAAAGTTCATAAATAAGCATTCTCTCATAGAGGCAAAGCACACATAACATACAAAGAGTCCCACAAAGAACTGACAAAAAAAACATGTAATAGAAATGCATATGTACAGGCACTCCCAGACAATCACAAATATTCAAATCACAACAACATAGAGAGTCACACAAACACTACACAGGCAACATAGATTTAACCACTAAAGCACATACACTACTCATATATTTCTAGCCATGCCTGGTCAATGCACATCCCAGGTGGAGATTTTCCATATGTGAGTCAGCAACACACATGTAGAAAACACAGAACATGCACACTCAGTCTCATAATCACACACAGTTTACACGAGCCCCTTCTGACCAATGTTTGTTATCAATATGCTCAAATACCTTCTGCTCTGGGATATTACCTTAGTCCTTGCTTTCTTTCCAACAGATCCAGGAGCCAAAGGACTAGATACAGCCTCTGTGGTTCAGGGACTGTAATAGACTTGCATGTCTATTTATCAGTAACAGAACAATGGGCAGGAGGCTTTTATTTTATAGCAGAAGGAAGACATGAGGGAAAAACACCCAGGATCATCAATAAAGAAACAGTCAATGTGGGCTAATTGAACAACATTCCTGCTGGCCTCTAGGGGAGGGGCTTGTGCAGGGGCCAGAGGTGCTGAAACCCTGAAGTCCCTGGGGACAGTGTTTCTGATGCTGGTAATAACTTGGTCTCCTTTCTGTCTGATATGCTTGTTTCAGGTGGTGGCAAAGGGACCAAAGTCAGTCTTGGGCTTCAAAAATGTTCATAGAGATAAAGTAAACCTGCTCCCATGTCAGAGCACGGTTCCTGGATCTCTGGCACAAGCCATGCCCAGAATTCACTGGTCTCCCCACTGCCTGGAGAGTCTCCTATAGAGCAGGGGCTGAGCCTAGCTCAGAAGATTGAAGAACAGAAGAATGTACCCCATAGGTCATGACAAAGACACTGTTGAAATTGATTTTGGACTCTGTCACTTACTGTGAGCTCCTAAATAAGAGCTCCTAAATGATATAATTCAGTTCTACAGTATTCAGTCTGAAATGTAACTTGGGGTTATGAATCGTACCTTCCTCAAAAGGTTGTTGTGAGGATTAAATGAGATAATACACATTAGCATTCTTATCACAGTGCCTGGTACATGAAAATGTATAGTAATTGTTAGGGGATATCAGCAATAATTTTTACATCTCAGGACATTTAATTAACTTCATGTATTCATTTGTTCTTTCTGATGTATATTGACTAAAGACTTTACAAAGGTGACAAGCTAGGCTGTGGAACACAGGAGTGAATAAAATACAAACATACTGGAGTGGCTAGTCTTTCCCTTCTCCAGGGGATCTTCCCAACCTAGGGATCAAACACAGGTCACCTGCATTGCAG